AGCCAGCAAACTCGCAGCTGCCCAAGAACCCTAGAAAGCCGCAGCCAAAATTGGGCAGCAAAAAGGCCGGGGCGGCGGCGGTGAGGCCGAGGTACAAGAGGAAGCCTAGGCGCAAACCCTAAACCCTAAACCCTAAACCCTAAACCCTAAACCCTAAACCCTAGCCAATTTGCGAACCCCAAGCTCTCCAGGACTCCTGCGAGAAGACTAGGGAAGCTTCGTGGGTCGTACAAAGCCCAGGTAAACCCTAAACCCTAAACCCTAAACCCTAGTTAACCCTGCCTAACGAATTTGAAACCCTAGTAAACCCTAGAAAACCCTAAAACAGTGTTTAAAGGCGGCGCAAGATGCAGGAGAATTCGTGCGAGAATGAGAAGCGATTGAGGTCTGGAGTCGAGGCTTTATGGCTCTGCTTTTAGGGTTTAGGGTTTAGGGTTTAGGGTTTAGGGTTTAGTTACCCCAGAGGTTCTCCAGCCGGCAGATGCCCGCAATTGCCCCCGCAAGAACTGCAGCCATATGGCGGCTGCAGACAGATAAATAAAAACAAATAAATAAATAAATAAATAAATAATTAATTAATTAATTAATTAAATGAAATGAATTAACTAATTAATTAATTAATTAATTAAATGAAATAAAAAAATTAATTAATTAATAGTAATGAAGTTAGAACAGCTCAGAAGGGGTGGAGAACAAAAGGGGAGAGGGGAGGGGAAGAGCAATGGCACTGCAGGAGAGTTAGGGTTTAGGGTTTAGGGTTTAGGGTTTAGGGTTTGTGGTTGGAATGTGTGGTGCCCTAAGAAACAAGTACACACAAGACACCAGCAGCAGCAGCAGCAATATCAGCAGCAGCAATATCAGCAGCAGCAGAAGCAAGCGCAGCAGGAGCAGCAGCAGCAAAATCAGCAGCAGCAGCAAAATCAGCAGCAGCAGCAGCAGCAGCAGCAGCAAACAGCGCTTCGATCTCAGCAGCAGCAATGGAAAGAGGCCCAGGAAAGCCGCCGCGAGAAGAAGACAAAAAATAAAAACAGAAAAAATAAAAATAAAATTAAAAATTAAAATAAAATAAAAATAAAAATAATAATAAAATAAATTTGAAGCAGCAAACGAAATGAAGAAGCTGCGGTGTATCGACACCGCAGCAGCAGCTCGATGCAGGAGGCCGGGGAGTGGAAACAGCAAATAAATGGCCGAATAAACACTTAAACAAATAAAATAAATAAAATAAATAAATAATTATTTATTTTTTGTTTATTTATTGACTTATTTTCCATTTATTTCCCCATTTATCCCTCCATTCTCACTTCAGCTGCAGCAGCCGGCTGTTGTGCGCAATGTGCTCCCCCACAAAACCCGCAGGGGGGCCCCTGCTGGCAGCATCTGCTGCAGCAGCAGTTGGGGGGCCCCCCGGGGGGCCCCCAGCAGCAGCAACTCCTGTCATTTTTGCGTTGAACGGGGCCCGCTGCTGCTGCTGCTGCTGCTGCTGCTGCTGCTGCTGCTGCTGCTGTTCTCGTTGCTGCTGCCGCTGCTGCAGCGGCGGCGGAAGCCGTGCAAGGGCTGCTGCTGCCCCGCTGCTGCTGCTGCTGCTGCTGCCTCTGGCGCTGCTGCTGCTGCTGCTGCTGCTGCGGGGGTTTGATGGGCTCTTCAGAGGATATGGGGGCTGGCTCAGCTAGCAGCAGCAGCAGCAGATGTGGCTGCTGCAGCAAAAGTCCAAAAGAAAAGAAACTTTTAAATTTAAAACTGCTGCTGCGATCCAGAAGCAGCAAAGACACAAAGGCAGCAGCAGCATGCGGGGCCCCCAGCAGCAGCAGCGGGAGGGGGGCCCCCGTGGGGCCCCTGCTCGCGAGCCTAGGCCTAAACCCTAAACCCTAAACCCTAAACCCTAAACCCTAAACCCTAGATTAAAGTGGAAATTTCTGGTCTTTACAAAGTAAGGCTGAGGGTTAGGGGCCCCTAAAGGTTTTCTTTTTGCTGCTGCTGCTGCTGCTCTGCGCTGGGGGGCCCCAGCAAGACACGCATCATGCGGTGGGGCCCTTCCGCAGCAGCAGCAGCAGCTGCTGCTGCTGCTGCGCTGCTGCTGCAGGGCCCCCAGCATTCCCTGTCGGTCAGAGTCTGCAGCAGCAGCGCCAAGGGCCTCGGGGGGGGCCCCCCGGGGGGCCCCCCGGGGGGCCCCCCTGCATTTCTTTTGGGGGCCCCCCGCAGCTACGGCCTTTGCCTCTCCCGCAGCAACTCCCTGCAGCAGCAGCAGCAGCAGCAGCAGCCAGCAGCAGCTGCTGCAGCGGGGGCCCCGGCCGCTGGGGAGGCTGGGGCTGGGCCCCCAGGGGCCCCTGGGGGCCCCCTGGGGGCCCCCCTGGGGGGCCCCCTGGGGGCCCCCCTGGGGGGCCCCCTGGGGGGCCCCCTGGGGGGCCCCCAGGGGGGCCCCCCTTTGTCCCTTTCGGACAAACTGGACACTGCAGCAGAAGCTCACGTGAAGGACTCTGTTGCTGCAGCAGCAAAAGAAGGTGACGGCATTGTGTGTGTCAGTTCGAGGGAGGAGGACGCTGCAGCAGCAGCAGCAGAAGCTGCTGCTGCTGCTGCTGCTGCTGGGGGTGCAGCAGCAAACCCTGAAGCCCTCGCAAGCGCCGCCCGCACCTTCAACCCGGGGGCCCCTCCACCGAGGGTGGGGGGCCCCTCGAGGGGCCCCCTGGGGCCCCCCGGGTCCTTCGGGGCCCCCCTGGGGGGCCCCCTGGGGGCCCCCCTGGGGGGCCCCCTGGGGGGCCCCCTGGGGGGCCCCCCGGGGGGCCCCCAGGGGCCCCCCAAGATGAAGCCCGGGGGGCCCCTGGAGGCCCTCGCTGTGGCCATGCAGGGGGGCCTCGAAAGGGGGGCCTCTTGGCTGCGGCAGTGGCCCGAAAAGGAGGAGAGGGTACTGCCGCTGCTGCTGTCAAGGTTGGAGGAAAATGCTGCAGTGGTCAGTTTGCTGCTGCTGCTGCTGCTGCTGCTGCTGCTGCTGCTGCTGCGGCTGTTGCCGCGCCGCGGCTGCTGCTGCTTCTGCTGCTTGAAGTTGGTCCCTGCAGAGCCTTGCAGCTGCTTCCTTCGCCGCTGCCGCTAAAGCCTGAAGCCGCCCCCTCCGCTGCTGCTGCTGCTGCTGCTGCTGCTGCTGCTGCTGCTGCTGCTGCTGCTGCTGCTGCTGCTGTTGTCTTCGTGGTTTCGGCGCTGCTGCGCTGTTGCTGCTTGCTGGCTGCCGTGGCTGCTGCTGTTGTTGCTGCAGCTCCTGTGGCTGCTGCTGCTGTCTTTCTCGCTGGAGCTGCTGCTGCTGCCGCTGCCGCCGCGGCTGCTGCTGCTGTTTGCTGCTGCCGTGGCTGCTGCTGCAGTTGCTGCTGCCGCAGCGGCTGGCGCTGCTGCTTTTCCGCTGCCACTGCTGCTGCTGCCTTTGCCGCTGCTGCTGCTGCAGCTGCTGGCTTGCTGCCGCTGCGTGGGCGCTCTATAAGCCGCCTCAACTAGCCGCTCTGCCTGCTCACCCTGCTGCTCCTGCTGCTGCTGCTGCTGCTGCTGCTGCTGCTGCAGGCAGCTGCAGGGCCGCTTCCACCAGGCGCACTTGGTGTCGCTGCGGACGCCGCTGGGGTCTGTGGTGTCTGAACACCTCGCGGACTTGGAAGATCCGTCGGAAGCAGAAACAGCAGAAATTGTTTCTTTCTGCGCCCTCGACCACCACCTGGACGCGCGCACGCGGTGCTGCTGCTGCTGCTGCTGCTGCTGCTGCTGCTGCTGCTGCTGCTGCTGCTGCTGCTGC